CTTTTAAATTGTTTTTCGTCTTCTTTTCCCCATTTTCTTCAAGTTTCCATCAAACCCTTCCATTAAAATGTCTCAACAGTTCGGTTGTAGCCATGGAAGTAGGTCCTCAATTCATTCAAGGTACGTATGCAAGTGTGGTCTCGATGCTCCATTGATGACGACATGGACCGATTCGAACCCAGACCGTTGTTTCTATGGCTGTGGAATGTATAAGATTCAAGGATACAGAAAATGCTCTCACTTTGCTTGGTTGGCTGAGGAGATGGATCCTAGGACAAAACAAATAATTTCTTCATTGGTAAAGAACTTGAATGAGAAGAAGGAGATGATTAACACCTACAAAGCCAAGGAGGACAAATTGAAGTTGAAAGTGAAGATCCTGAAGAAACAGTTGAAGATTACCTGACTTTTTTATTTGTAGTGTTCGTTGTATTTGTTGTAACAACAATGACGAAATAGGTTATAGTTGATTAGGTTTGTATGTTGACTGATGGTGTAATGGTTGATGTATTGGTTACCTTGGATTTATGTGATGATGTTATGGTGTATTGAATATGATACAATTAATATTATCATGGTAACTTTATCACAAATGTTTTTAAAAAATGGGATTAATTGCAATAATACAGGTTAAAAAATGGGATTAATTATAAAAGCAGGATATTATTTGTTAATTCTGCAGAAAATTTAACAACGGTTATTTATCATAACTGTTATAATATCTCTTGCATTGACAAAAAAAATACTTTATCACAACGGTCTTTTGGAAAAACCGTTGTGATAGAGCGCGCGCTTTTCAGTTTATTACAACGGCTACTGGGTCGTGATTGTAAGTATCATATATACAACGACACTCTACATAACAACGTTTGAGCCCGCATGATTATATATCTTTTTCAACCATTGTTAAATTGGTTTTTCGTAATAGTGGTGATACCATAGCTAATCCCCACCAAAGCGGTCAAACCACATGAAGTTACTCCAAGATCCTCAAGCCACCACCAAGCTAGGGGACATCAGATTCATCCTGACTCTGAGAGTGGGAGAAATTCATACTCCATCTGAAGCTCGCAATCGTTATCGGTCACCAATACACAATTCCCAGAGGAGGGAAATGGACAAAATATATGCTCCTACTACATAATGAAAAAAGAACATGATGTCTGCACACGTTCTTGATAGTCCCTTGAGAAACCTCTGGAGTTAGCCGACTACAACATGTCCAAGGATCCTTACGAACATGTAGAGCATGTCGATAACAGGTTGGATTGCTACCACGCCCTTGGAACCGTAAAGTGTAAGCTCTTGGTGATAACCCTTGTTGGAGCAACCATAACGTGGTATAAAACTCTTCCAAATAAAAGCATTGACTTATAAGGATCTATGTGACTCCTTCACCTCTTAATTTACCACCTTAAAAATGAAACCTACAACTAGAGTAGGATTACACTGAAGAAGAAGGAAACCCTATATGAGTACATAGATTGTTCGCGAAAGTGGTTGTGGTGGTAGAAGATAAAGATTGTGGATTAATGTGTCGGATATTAAAGAAGGATTTGAGGTGCAATTGCATGTTCTGAGAAAATTTAGGGCTCAACTTGTATCTTAAGGGTCTGTTTGGTTCAAATAAGGAGGAGAAGGGGGAGGAATATTAATGAAGGGAATGGAAGGGGAGAAATTTTTTTAATTATATATATATATATATATATATATATATATATATATATATATATATATATATATATATATATATATATATATATATATATATATATATATATATATATATATATATATATATATATATATATATATATATATATATATATATATATATATATATATATATATATATATATATATATATATATATATATATATATATATATATATATATATATATATATATATATATATGAGGGGGAGGAGTTTTAGTCAAAAATATGTTTGGTTCACACTGGAAAGGGAGATTTTATTGATAATTTACATTTTTATCCTATCTTATACAAGTCATATGATATTCAAAAAGTTAAGAAAAAAATAAGTCATCAATATTTTTTAGTAATAACATATTTATAAATAATTAAACACAATTATGTTTTTGATTGATTAAAAATATTATAACTTATTACATAATCTTAAACAAATTAAATATACTTGATTCGCAATATAATTCTCCTACACAAATTAAACTATGTGTTGATAACGATTTTTAAATTGTTATGAACCATGGTTTAAAATTTGAAATAAAAATATAATAAGATAACAAAATTAGAAGAAAAAAAATTGAACCTTAATAAACATTAAAATATTTTTAAAACAAAATAATGAAGTGATTATAATTTATATTTAATAACAAAATTACGAAAAATAAAAGTAGAGAACAATAATAATAAATTGATGGAAGTAATAAAGAAAAATCACACAAAAGAAGAGAAGTAGTACTAGTAACACGAAACAAAATGAATTATTCTGAACTACTAAAATAAAATTGAGGATATTTTAATAAATGTAATAATTTTTTAAATATGAAAGTTCGGATTCTCTTCCTTCCCCTCCAAATCTCTCTAATTGAGGGACGTAAAAAGTGTGTTTCAGAGAGGTTTAGCTCCTTCCCTTTCTCTCCCCTCATAAAATTTAAACTGAACACATTTAATTAGAATTATTCTCTCCCCTCTCCTCCCATCCAATCAAACACACCCTAAGTGACTTGTTGAATATAGACATGACAACATAACTCATACCCGCAGGTATCCACTTGAGTTCACTCCGAATTTGACGGAGAAAACCCGCTTTGATTGAGTTTGGATTTGGGTTTGGATTTTTCCCGATTATAAAATATGGGGACAGATCGAGTAATAGGGATACTAGTACCCACCTCGAACCCATCTCAAACCTGCCCCGTTTATTTTATCATGTGCTCTATTATTTTAGTTTTGTTAATTTATAATATTAAATATGTGGTTAATGTTTTGACATTTTGATTTAAATTTATTATTTAAAATATTTGAAATGGATGCATAAAATTTTGTGATATTTTTATTTTATCATGTAATTTTATTTTGAAAAATAAATATTTTTATTAAAAAAAATTGTTTCATAAAACATATGGAGGAGGGGTTGGGATACCCGAACCAAACTCGAATTTGTTTAGGACGGGTTTGAGTTTTAATTTTCAATTTTCGATGGAATTTGAGGCGGAGAACGAATATTATTTTAAAATTCAGATTTGAATTTGATGTGGTAAAAATCGTCCCCGAGCCATCTCATTGTCATGTCTAGGTGAATATGACACAACTTTATATGAATTGGAAAGAAAAGTTCTTAATAGAAGGAGGAAAAAGGAACTTATAGTTTAAACAACTTGCAGGAACATATAGTGGCAAACAGGTTGATGAATATTAGATGTATGAATGTTTTAACTAGAGGTGGCAATGAAATCCATTTAGATAATTTATCCATTCAATCCATCCATAAGACAAAAAATAATTTAATGGATTTGATCTAATTCATCCACTAACTCATATGGATGGATTCAATCCATCCATCTCATTTTATAAATTCATTGGGTATTATGTTATCACTTATTAAATTAGTTAAGAATTTTATAAATCTCATTATTTAAGTTTTTTACGAAATTTAAAAAATAATTCAAAATATTTAAATTATGGTTTTATGAAATTTAAAAAATAATTAAGAATTTTTAAATTAATTTTTTGGATGGATGGATATCCATCCATTAGAAATATGTTAATGGATGGATTTGATGAATTTTATCTTTTAATTGATGGATTGGATTAAATTTTTATTAAGAGAGTTTAGTGAATTGTTAATGAATTAATGGATTTCTTTGATCCATCCGTTAACAATCCAATTCATATTCATCCAATACATTCATTTTGCCACCCCTAATTTTAACCGAGTCAAATCTATTATAATGTCTTATTTATACCAAATTTAACGGTAAAATTTTTGAAACCATGTGTCTTAGCTGTCCACACTTTGACAAACTGTCATAATTGTATCAATTAAATATATTTGTAAACTAAAGATTGCATGGTGCAATCATATGGATATCATGCATGAACTTCAGTCAGATATTCATATAGTAAAAGAGACGTATAAAGTGGAATCACTGAGAGTTATTCATATAGTAAAAGAGACGTAGAAATTGGAATCACTGAGAGTGAAGAATACTCGGTTAGGTATATAGGAAGGAAAGCAAAAAAAGCAATTGCAAAGATTCTCGGAAACTTGAAAGCAATGAAAAATGAGTTCATAATTTAAAAGAAGCAGAAGTTAATAACTATTAGACATAGTTGAAAATATTTATTTATTAAAAATTGAAAAAATAAAACACATAGGTAATCAGGGAATCTGATGACTATTTTTAACAAAAAAAACAAATAATGAAATCTTCAAAAATCATGGGGAGAAACTGTTTTTCATTTGTTTAATCATATTTTTATTTGGAAGCAGCTCAATATAAAACTAAGTGTACATTTTTTTTATAATTTGTCTGTTTGATAAAAATAAAATTTGACAAAATTACGTAGGCAAAACACCTTACCACATTCTCATATCCTACACTTTTCTTTTTATGGTGAAAAATCACATGTCCAACTCATAATCACAATTCACAAGTGCATAAAACTTGAAAGAGACCGTGCACCATTCAAATTTGGGTTGCAAGACGACAAAAGTCATATTGTTTCTCTTATTTGTTTCTCTTGTTTATGTTATTTACTATCCTTTACAAACGTCTGAGCTCAAAAAGTACATCACCAACAGCACTTGTGGCACAAACGTGTTTTATGAAAACGAAACCTTTCACTTTACAAAAAAAAAAACTACTCTGTATGTAACCAGAGTATACAAGCGTGTCTGACAATAACAAATAACTTCAAAAACTGTACAGTATATAAGCGTGTCTGACAACTGTATGTCGGTGTCATGTTTGGTATCTGTGTGCTTCACATAGAATGCGAACATTTACGTGATTAAACATTCTTCACTTCAGCAAAACTGCTAACAACCCTTTTATCTGCTACCATTTCCTCATTTTCACCAAACTTGACAAATTCTTCATTAGACTTTTCTGGGGAGCATGCCTTTTCGGGCTTGGTGTTGACTGGAACACTATACACCTCAGTCAAATTGGATTTGGGGGAACCACTTTTAGGAGCAATGGGCTGGGAAAAAACTGGAGTTCTTACCTCAATTGGTGATCTCACTGAAGGAAATTCATCACCAGAAGAGTCTGATTCATTTTCTCTTTCTGGAAGGGTTGCCACGGAATCACCTTTAGACTTCCTTGTTTTACCAGAAAGAACGTGTTTTAAGGTACGAGCCGATTTTTCTGCATTTTTGTAAACATTCTTTGCCATGTCCTTGACATCTCTCTTTGCCGGGCTTTCGGGACCGCAACCACTCCTTTCGGGGGATCCACCTTCTACCTGACTAGCCGGAAAGCCAGCAATATTATCATCCATAACAAACTTCACACCAACCCCTTTAGAAGCATTTACTGACCTAATGTTATCATGTGGAGTTCGACCGTCCTCCACAATTGAACTTGATCTTTCATACTTTTTCTGACTCCTACGAAATACAGAACCAATTTTGTGTAGGCCTTTCCTAACAGTTTTCATTCGATGCTTATCTTCGGGACTATCATCAGGACTGCTGCTGTCGTTGTTCAAAGATCCAGATGCGGTTGGATTATTTAAGTTGTCGGATATATCATTAAGCTCCCCGTGAATCTCTGTGTCGAGGCGTCGATTCTTCCCTTTTCTAGGCTCCCAGGTTTGGGAAACCTCACTTCCTGGGTGGTGAACCCAAACTCCTGTCTTCTTTTGCCCTTCAATTTCTATAGGCTCGAAGTCATCTGCTACTTTCAGAGATTTGTCAGACGAAACCGACGAGAAAGAACTTTTTTTGGTGGTCTCATTTACAAAAGAATCTATTCTTTCTTCAATGTTTATTGGTTCCTGGTCACATGTAGTATCAGCTTCCTGTACATAAAATTGAAATCAAACATCTAACAGATCAAAAACATTAGTAGCAACTTGTTGCTCTTCATGCAGACCAAGACCATTTTCCTTTTCATTTAGTAGCAACTTGTTGCTCTTCATGCAAACCAGAGAACCATTTTCCTTTTCATCATCAGGATTATATAATAAGCAAAACTACTGTCTACGTCATTTAAATTATTTTAAAATATCAAGTTAGTCCCTTAAATTTTTTAGTTTTTCTTGTAACACTTTGGTCCTTTTTTTAAAATCTCGGTTACAATAAATTACAAACTCATATACCATTTGAACTGATTTTTCGCGCTAATCACGAATATGTAATTAGTTTTGCGTTTGATTGTGTATTTTGGTCGGATCTTTGATTTTTTATTATATATTTTGTCCATTTTTACCTGATTCTCATGAACTGTAACTTGTTTGATAAATTTGATTGCATATTCGTGATCAGCACGAAAAACCAGTTCAAATGATATATGAGTTTGCAATTTATTATAACGGAGATTTTTAAAAAAAAACAAAACGTTACAAAAAAAACTTAAGGAACTAATTTGATATTTTAAAATAACTTAAATGACTAAAACAATAGTTTTGCTATATAATAACTAGTTTGACAGCATTGGGTGTTTGATGTATTATATACTTTTTGTATTGTATAGTGAAGTGAGAAGATATGAACTTCTGATGCGTTGATTGTCTTCTTTTTTTGTTTTTGAAATCTCAGTTTTCTTCTTCCCCGTCCTTTTGTTCAACTTATATTCTTTTTCTTTTCATTTTGAAAATAGGAATAAATTAATAATATTATTAATTTAAGTCTCATCCTTTTGTTCAACTTATATTCTTTTTCTTTTCATTTTGAAAATAGGAATAAATTAATAATATTATTAATTTAAGTCTCATCCTTTTGTTCAACTTATATTCTTTTTATTTTCATTTTGAAAATAGGAATAAATTAATAATATTATTAATTTAAGTGTGTAAGTTTGAAACAACGTACCTCTTTTAACTAGCTTTCGAAGAGAATGATTTCTTCTACATTTCTTCTATCCCAATCAATCAATACATCAAATCAACTATATTTATCACATATTTCTTTCTTCTTACACTCTCTCTCATCTATTTTTCTCTTCACAACCTCTCCTCGCGACCAAACAAACACTTAGTTAAAGTCAATTTCCGAATTTTTCACCCATATATCCTACATTTCCCCACCTAAATCCCAAACTACCCAACATTTCTCCATATATCCCAATCTACCCATGTTTGGATTTTTTTTTTAATTTTATACAAGGGGGCGCCATGGGGGTTGGAGTCTCCCTTATAATTTGTATGGGGGCGCCATGGGGGTTGGAGCCACCCTACAAATTATAAAGGGGGCGCCATACCCATTGGAGCCCCTTCTTTAAATTATAAGGGAGGCGCCGTGGGGGATGGAGCCCCTTCTTTAAATTATAAGGGGGGCGCCGTGGGGGATGGAGCCCCTTCTTTAAATTATAAGGGGGGCGCCGTGGGGGATGGAGCCCCTATGACACGTGTAAAAAAAGTAACTTTATGCATGCATGCAGTAAGACAAGTGTACGAATTATAAGGGAGACTCCAATGGGTATGGCGCCCCCTTTATAATTTGTAGGGTGGCTCCAACCCCCATGGCGCCCCCATACAAATTATAAGGGAGACTCCAACTCCCATGGCGCCCCCTTGTATAAAATTAAAAAAAAAAAAACCAAACATGGGTAGATTGGAATATATGGGGAAATGTTGGATAGTTTGAGATTTAGGGGGTGTTTTGTAGGGTATATGGGTGAAAAATTCTCAATTTCCAATGCATTGTTTTATGTTTGTTTTATTATTTGCGAGTTGATGGGAATGGAGATCACGACTCAGGAGTGTTAAATGTGTATTGGAATTTGATTTCAATAGAGGTTCTTTTAGTCTGTTTTATGTGAATTTATATTATTTTTTCGATCGAGGTTTCAAATGTTTGACTTTTAGCATTTCATGAATTCTGAACTTCATTCAAAAACTGAATTCTTAACTTTTTGCATGTATACATATAGAATCACGTGACTTTATATACTTGAATTAAGTTATAATATTTTTGAATTTTTAGCTATATGATACACTAAATATGCAATTATTATGTGAGCTGTCAACATATAGGCTCCAGAGACTTTATTGGGTAATATCTCTTCGTGTGAATATAATAGAAGGGGGGAAGTTACCTTTTCCTTGTCTTCTAAAACTGTTATTCTTAAATGCAATCTCCCCATTTTTACATTCTTTAGTGGCAGCCACTTATCATATTTTTGACCATCCCTAAAATCATTGATATTCACAGAACAGTCCCTGCAAAACAGAGTAACATTTGTTTTTGAATACACAATGAATAAAGGATAAACAGTCAATAAATTTAAAGTGACGGGGGGCCTTTTCAGATTCAGAAGAGGTTTATGTTTCATGGTCAATAAATTTCATAGGGGACATTTTCAGATTCAGAAGAGGTTTATGTTTCAAGGTCAATAAATTTCATAGGGGACATTTTCAAATTCAGAAGAGGTTTATGTTTCAAAGTCAATAAATTTCATATATTCACGGTCAATCAATTGCAACCACATATTTAAAATAATGGACTAATTGATAGTCTTAAAATTTGGGTCGGGCCTAACTCAACACTTACAAAACTGTGTTGTAAGGTCAGGACCAACCACCATTTATAAACACATTCACGTTATATCGTATCCAATGTAGAACTTCTCAACAGATAGTAAGGTTGATATAATAATAGTTGAGATATAGTTGTTTCAAGAAACAAAATAAAACAAAGAAAATGTATATTAAAAGCTGCATAATACAAAATCCAATGTTAAAGAAAGGAACAAACCCAAGGATATCATCATAGAAACGGTCCTTGTCTCGAACTTCTATAACCAACACATTGTTAGAATCCCATGTTATGATGGGAATTCTAAATTCCTCTAGCCATTTGGGAGCAAGTGTTTTCCTTTGTATCTTTGTCCTGAATCTATATCCGCCCAAATGACCTTTCACATAAGGATCGGCTAGTCCTGAAATAAATGGTAAATGAGATTACTCACAAAGCAACATATAAAAGAGAATGGCAAAAATCATCATTACAGAGAAAGGGATGGTAACCATTTAAATCTGATGGCTTCATGTCAGCTGCCTCAATAATTTCTACTTTTGCAAAAGCAACAGGGTCCTTCTCATCCACTTTAAACCAAGGCTCTATAAAAGAATTTTTGGATAAATGAGTATTTCATAATAAAAATTGTAAAACAAATATTTCAAGAATAGGTTATAATTATATTTAACTGAAAGATTTGTTTAATAAAGATTCTAGAGAGGGTTATGAAAGTATGATTTATTCACTAACTAAGTATTTTTACAGAAGTCTAAGAAAAAACATGACAAAAATACCTTGCTCTGGTGATACAAATTTCTCAACATCAACAACCAGCATATTAGGCTGCAAAATTTTTAAAAATAAAATATAACAGGTTTCTATCATCAGAAACAAATAAAAGATGTGAAGAAGGCATATAAATGTATACAAAAATAACAATACGAGAACAAACACAACATATTTCACCTCAACAAGGGTCTGTTCAAAAGCAATGGACAGAAGTTTATCCTGAAATAAAAAAAGTCAAGATAAATACAAATTACTTACAGCATAAGAACATCAAAAATGAAAATAAACAATTATTCTAGTTCTGCATAATATAGAGCTTATTTGTTTTAGCTTTATAAAAATAGATTTTTTTTGTATTTTCAAAAATGATTTTTATGAAAAAAAATCAAAATAGTAAAAGATTGTTTTAACTCATTTTTTCTAAATTAAAATACTAATTTTAACATCCAATAAAATAAATATACATTATTGAAGATTAAAACATAGTCAAAATCACATGATTTTTCAAAAAGATACGCTTCAAAAATGATTTTTATGAAAAACTACTCAAAGTGGCTTCAAATTTAAGTGATTTTTTGAAATTTTGATATCCAATAAAACTTATAATAAAGAGTGAAATATCTATTATAACATTTTAAGAAAAACCATGTAAACCAATTTTTCATTTTAAACTTTTTTTTTTTAAATTCTTTGTAAAAAATTTTAAAACATAAATATAACTATTAAAAATCATTTTTAGAAAAAGCTGAAACAGACAGTAAAATATAAAACCAATTAACATTTACAAGCCAGCCAGCAATTCCTGGAAGTTCTGTCACATCAAGCCCGTGAGTAAAAATAGGTTTGACAGTCATCTGAAAATATGGAGGCTCGACAAAGCACACACGCAAGCGGCCAAGAAAAGGCCATGTCTTGAGAAACTTTACTCCCACCAAGACCTATAGAAAGAACAGACATAAATAATTCAAATTTTAAGTCATTCCCTTTTCTCTCCTAACTTTCTAAAAAGAACCACTTATCTACTATTTTTGTTTAATACCGATTAGTAAGAACCAAATTGCATGAGTAATATTTTGAATTTCCAACACAAAATTTCAGACATTTGCTTATCTTGAATCTGACCTTAAATACATCAATTTTATTGAGTAAATGAATAATCAGTAAAAGAAATTTATTATATGTTCAACAAATGAGTCATAGTAAAATTGAAACTTCACAGTCATACCTTCCCTTCAACATGCATTCCCGTTATATGCAGCTTTGTTGACATTCCAAAGCCCAATCTTTTTCTTAGTTTCACAGCAAGTATTGCACTCATATCATCCGCTGTGAGAAAATTCATTCCTAACTCCATAACCTGCATTGATCACAACAAAAGATGGGATTCAAACCAAAACAATCTTTGCTTGCATGTACTGATGCAGAACATTGATGCATTGTCCTTATATGCTGATTTAGAATAACCAATACCAAGTGGTCATCATCACTCTGGCGAAGTACCCTGATATCAGTAATCAAAGGCGGGTTTCTTCCCATGTATAGGTGTTGAACAACTGCTTCTTTCTGCAAATATAATATATTGACATTAATATCTTATCATACACAACCAGAGGAATTGTTTTACACTAAAGAGACGGGCATAAAAACACCAAAATATAAAGCAACAAAAAGGAAAACGAATAACATTTAAACATAATTAATAACAAAATGGTTGAAATTCAAATGGTTTAATCAAGCAATACCAAATATAAATAACTGAAAGATAGAATCATACAGCAGTCCATGGCTTGTACTTGTCTAAGAACCAAGGTATGATAGGGAGTAAAATCTTCTGAGATACAATCTGTTCCATACATACAGGCCATATGTTTTCAACAGCATGGTTCAACCACCTAACTGTTTCGGAATCAGAAAGCACCTAAAGCACAAGAAACACCGTCATCATGCAAGTTATATTAGCTAATAAACATAACATCATTTGCAATTAGAACACCACATCCCCGATAATTCTTAAAACAGCAATAACAAAAAGAGAAAACATGTAAAGTCAGTGTGAACTAGTTTACACTAATGCCCAATGAGAATCAAGCACTTTGCGGTTATTTTTGAAAATCGGTTACAAGTGGACTTATGTGGCAATATCATGAGTTCTCCATCAGATGTCAATGCAAAATTATTTTACACCAAAGATAACAAAAAAGTTGAACATTAATCCTTAGATCTCTTATTGATAAGATCCACTCAAAACACATCAACAGTTAAATTCATCGATTTTAGCTTCACGCCAGCACTCAAGGTCGGATTCTACACAGTAAAACGAATTATTTAATCTTTTAGATATTAGTTTCTTTATCTTCATTTACTTGAACCTTGTTATATTCCCATTATACTCAAAAATCAACAAAATCAAACAACCATCAGAATGATTACCCTTCTTTGATTAGATTGTTTCCTCTCCTCAAACTGCAACTTCTTCGTTAGCCTTGTAACATAACGGTCATGAACCTTTCCAAAGAAAAACAACAAAGTAAGAAAATAGAATATTCACCACCTTTTCTTTCCCAATCATTTATAATAAGACAAAAAAAAATCCAAACTAAAAACTACAGATCCAAACACTAAGAAAAAGCACTGTCCAATATCTGTTTCAATAAAAAAAGCAAAGACCAAAAAAACATATAACAATAAAATAAAAAATTTCAAAAGCAAAAGCATGAATCCTCACCAGATAAAGATAGATCAAAGCCAGAAAATAAAAAGCAGCGTGACAACAATCGAATGAAGATAACAACCAGAGAGAAAATAAGACAATCCCAACATGATGCAAGATTGAAATCTCAGTTATATCCATAACAATAATAACCTCTTGAACACAAACAAAGGCAAGAGTTAACCCTAGTTGACGAAAAAGGAAATGGATGATGAAATGGTGAAACCCTAAAAGTGGAAATGAATTGAAGTGTTGTAGAAAATGTAAGAAGATGAAATAGTGGTCAAAAGAATGACGAAATTGAATTGAATAATGGATTGGATAGAGAAAGTGGAGAGAGTAATGCTGATGGTAGAATGTTCAAATTAGGGTCCCATTGGGATGAGATGAATGATGAATTTGGGAAATGTGAAACGGTGACGTAGAGGGGAAGTAACAACACAAGGGTCGTAATAAACTAGTAAACATAAACTAAACACTATTAGGAATGTGGAAGTTAATTACTAAACACTATTGGAAGGGTTATCGATAGAGGCGTTCTATGAACTAATATAGTATTTATGAGTCTTCAAAACCACTTTGTAAATTTAAATTAAATTATATCAAACTAAAAATGTAAAAATTGTATTTGGTTCGGATGTACTCAGAGTATTTTTTAATAAAATTGTGTGGTTTGATTTTTAAAATTCAAGCCTATTATGTCTTAGTATTACTATTACAAATAATTTTCAAATTTTTTATAGTAGAATCACACATTCTTCTCATCTTCTTTGTCATGTATATCTCCTCTCTTCTACTATAACCTGTCCTCTTTTATGTTATTTCTTTTTCATCTTTTTATTTTTATGTTATTATTTTCTCTTTTAATAACATTTTTATCTCATCCTCTCCTATGTTTTTTTTTCTGTTTCATTAAAATGTTTTTGATATATTTTATGATATTATATGTTTTTATTCCACTTTTGTTTAATCTACTTTTTGTATAATAAAAAAAATTTGTTTAAATATGATGAGGTTTTAGAGGTGGACAACGTCGGTTGCAAACGGTTTCGGACAAAAAAAATCCACCACCAAAAATCAATGGGTTTAATATTTTAACGCGATGTCGTCCATTTTGCATAACGGTTTCAATAGATGGCGATTCTTTCAAATCACGGATTTGACATGTGGGTTTTTCGGTGACTTCACTCAGATAAAGTGAAAAAATATGAAAATCAAAAACGAAAAACTCCAACCAAATAAGAGGAACACAGAGATGAAATGAGAAACAAACAAAAATGGTGGAATAGAAAAATATAAGAGGAACTTACACATGTCAACTTTTGAGAAGATTTGAGAAGAAAAATATAACAATGTGTATTTCATCTTGTCATTAATAATGGACTAAAATGATAGATAGAAAGCTTTCGTCATGGAAATTGTCATGTTTTAAAAGAAGTTAAAAATTGATATTTGAGTGTATGAAGAGTTGTGTGTTTGAAGAGAAAAATGAGAGAGAAAAGCAATTGTGATGGAGAGAGAGAGAAGAAAATGAAAACAAGATATATGAATGAAAAAATAAAATACTAATACTACTACATATGAAGTACACGTGAATATCATAATGGCTTTTGTAGCAAATTATATTAAATAAATTTTAAATAATAAATTATGGGTCTCAAGGACATAGGGAAAGGTCATAGGAAACAACTATATATATTATTATCTATACCTATCACACTATTGAGATCAAAATACTTTAACATGTTCGGTCGGATTTGGGTTTTATTTGACCAATAATTAACAATCGAATTTGATCATAACAATTTATTGAAACTCGATTTTTTTAATTTTTTCACCCGACACCCATTTTTATCCGACCTTTTTAATAAAATTCTGATCGAACTGTCATACCTCAAATTTGTCCTACCTGTATATTATTTTCACCTGTATTTCCATCTACTAATCATTATTTTAAAAAAAAAACAAAAAAAAAATGTCCAGTTGTTGCAAGGTTGAATTAAGTTTTTAAGGCAGTTATGTGTGCAACATGGATTGAGGTTCATTTGGTTTTGACCTAATCTTGGTCAGGTCAAAGTTAGTTTCATGATTAAGGTCAGGATATGCATAATTCAAGTGGCGTGTGTCTGAGGTTCCAATTAGGATTTTTGTGTTAATTCAAGTCATCTGTGCATGGATCTGGTTATCAGGTTGTGCTAAGTTCAAACATTTCATGGTGGAAAATCATGTGAGATCAGTTCATTTTCAGTAAGGGCTTTGGACAGTATAGTTCATATCAAGTCCTTATCTTCTGATTTTAAGGCATTTGCTGAGTATTTTGATCATAGTGAAAACCAATGCTTAAATCGTTAAACTCAGGAATTGATGCATCACTAATTTTATTTGTTTCAAAGCTCTAATAAATCTGAAGATCCAAATTGTTTCATGTTCACTCTCTTAAGGCTGATTCAGGATATTGAAAAGTGGTTTCAAGGTTGGTTTTTAGTTCAAGTTAGGCAGGTTATTTATTCAGAATAATTGCAAGTTTGATTCAAGTATGTCAGATTCAATATTATTGCAAATTCGCTCAAAATTTAATACAAGAATTTGTCAAGTGCGTTGTTCAAGAATTATGGAGGGCACATAGGGTATTATCATTCAAAATCCATTCACAAAAATACTCCAAATATATATATATATATATATATATATATATATATATATATATATATATATATATATATATATATATATATATATATATATATATATATATATATATATATATATAACGAAAAAAGGTCCATTATCATTTAAGCTTGCAAGAAAAATGGTATGTGAATCAAGGCCCATATAAAAGCCCATTACACAAAAAGTCCATATTCGTACCAAAAAAGGAGTCTACAAAAGCCATTATCACAAAAGCCATTCAAAATATTATAAGCCCATATTACATTTCACTCAAGCCTATTAGAAATTATAAAAAAATATGATGCAAAGCTCCAAGCCTAAGCATTCCTAGCCATGTTGTGTCCAAGCCATCACCACGCATAGCCTTCCAACCATCGGGAGCATCACAATTCCAAACTAAATTGAGAAAACAGCTGCAAAAGGAAGTTTCTTGTACCAAATTGCAGCCACGAAATACAAAACATGATACTACACGCATCACAAGCAAACACGCAACAACATTACACAAAATAAACCAACTTCCACGTCATGATTCATAATACATACACAATGCATTACACACATACACACAATTGCAAAACTAAAAAACCTCCAACCATGTAACAACCACGTCCTAAGCTTCACTCCAATACCTCATTGCAAATCTCCACACAACACATCATGAGCTACAACACAACAATTTCAAACCAACCTTTCCAAAGCCACACCAGCATGGTTCAAAAACTCATACACACCAAGCCATTCGTACAAACCATGAATAATACGATCCAAGCTAACAACCTTATCACACCAGCCATTACCACAATAACTTTCAGCCAAAATAAGTAACGAAAACACATATATCATGAGTCACAATATTCCATACACACACTTGAAAATCATACTCCAATTTTCCAAGCACCCAACATAACCAACTCCAAGCAAAGTCACGCATGACTCCAACTTGATTCACTACACAACACACCTAAAAAGCCAATTTCATTACATACCACGACATAACCATGAGCCAACATTTATTCCAAGCCAACTCACACAAAATCTTGCACGTGACCAATTCACAAACTTGCGACCCTCACGACAAAATAACGGTAACGCGAATGAAACAAAAACACAACAACCATGTTACCGCAAAAATTTTAATCCCCTCCATTCTCTATATAAAATCCCACCCTTTCTCACCTTATTTTGCAAGTTCTTTGAACCAAACAACCTCTGCCAAAATCTCTCCAAAACCTTACTCTTTTTCAACCTATTCCACCACAAACCTTTTTCTTCAAATCTCACTCTTCATCAATCTTCTTCAACCCAACCACACAGACCAAGTCAAACAATAATAAAGCCAAATCATGAAATCAGAGAGAGAAAGGGGATAAAGAGAGTGAATCGATCCAAAACCATAAACAATCAAACTTGAATTGTGGACGAACCAAAGTCGAACACGAGAGAGAGTAAAACAAAGGAGAGGAAATGAATGAAGAAGGTTGGAATAAGATGTGCATCGTGTTGACATTATTACTCGTATTCTTCTTCATTTTTTTCATAAGCTTTTATTGTTCTTTTAAGTTGTTTTTGAAGAATGAAGGTTGATACTTGAATCTCACCATAAGTCGTGTTATGTTTTCCTCTTAATGCTTGTCTTGTCGAACCAACATAGTTTAATTTACGATTAACGATTAGGCTGGACCACCGTTGTTAAGGCTTTACTTTTGATCGTTATGTAGTAGATATCACCTAGGACTAGGAATACCCTATAGAAACCGGAATATTCTTGATAATTGATTGCTTAATCTCACTTATAATTCTCTATGGACATAGGAATTAGGATAGATGATTAAAGGTTTTCTCACTAAGGACTTAGGAGCAAACATTTTAAAGAATCGGTAATTAGTTAGTTACAATAAGTTGTTGCAGTGTTAATTCAGAGTTGTTACTGAGTCGGATCATACACTTCCCCTAGCATGTTACTAATATGTGTCGCTACTCGAAAAAATGCATCGCGCAACGACGGGGAGGCGAAAAAGATAGACAGAAGAGTCGCCACCGAACTTTATTTATCCCATGAGGGGAAAGGAAAATATCGAGAAAACCTTAAGAAAGAAATGGATAAGATGGTCTCGCAACCATGAACGGGTTCGGAAGCCGGTTATGCAAGGGGAAGGTATTAGCACCCCTCGCATCCATCGTACTCGATGGGAACCTTTTGTTTGTCGATGTGTGAATTTATTTGCTTAAACATTATGCTATAAAGAGTGTTCTAAAAGGTAGAGAGAAGGGTTTAGAAACGGGGAAAGAGAGGTAACGGATGGGAGAGGAGAAAGAACGGACTCGGTAGGACTTCGCGGTCCTAGGCCTACGTATTCTCAACAGATATGAGAAAGTCAGAGTCGACGTAGTTCGGGGAACTACAGGTGATAGGGGGGATGTGCTCGCCAAGGATTGCGGCCCTTGTGCCTACGTATCCTCATCTGGTA